CAATGTTCCCACAGAGCTGATGAGCCCAATCAGTGAAATGATTAAAAATTGATTTTGTCCCTGTAATTACAGTATGTAAACTACTTAGCTTGGATTGCAAAGGAAGTGATTTTCTAATTACGTATATACTCTGGTGTCTAATGATTGGTTTTTTGAAGTAATGAAGAGAGAGCCCTAACGACTCCTTGGTGCTCTGTTGTTTAAGAAAGACCATCTTTAGAGTAAGCAGCAACAGACAAAGAGTTTAAATTGAATTTTCAACACTGTTAATGTGCACATGGATTTGTTTATTAAAGAGACAGTAGCGTAATTTGATTGGTTGGGAACATCATGGCTTTTTTATTATGTAATATATTAGGATGCATGTGTCATGGTATAGGCACAGAGGTGATGGAAACCTTTTTTTGTACTACTTTAAATTCATAATATTCTCTCACAACTCACTCGATCAGATTGCCACAGATGCCTGTTCATCCCGTGTATCCAGATTGCCCGCAGGAGGGAAGCGCAGGTAGTGAGTTATCCTCCCACAGAAGGCACCTTTCACATCGGTGGGAAGTAAGCTGGACACGTCTGAGCAGTGTTCAAGTGGCTGGCTGGCCTTACCTGTGGCATTTTCCACCACACCTTTCCAAGGGAAGAATACTGTGTAAAGACTCACAGGCCTTCCCCCGATGCCCCACTGGGGCAGGATGGTGCAGCCCCTGCCATGCGGTGTTCCTGCTGGCAGCAGGCAGTGCCGTGGCCCGGGGCACAGTACGGCTCTAGGGGACCCCTTTCCAAATTCTCTGCGAGCTGCGAGTGTCAGCTCAGAGTGAGACCCTGCTTGCCACCAGCAGTGCATATGTTGTTTGCAGTCATGTTGAGTACCAGCCTGCAGCCCATGAAACCCGCTGGTGACTTCTTTGAATCAAGCTGGAGCACGAAGGATAGGGTCAGCAGTGTGCTGGAGTCAGAATGATCAGCAGAGCTGAGGCTGGCCTGAGCAGGGCAGCCTGGTGGTGCTGTCAGTGCCAAAGAGCAGAGCAAGGTGGAGGTTGCATGGAAGAAGCGGGTACTCGGATATTTGAAGCACAAATGTGTGTAGAGAAACCTAAGGAGCTGAAAAGAGTTGTCTCTTTGATTTAAAATCTTTTTTTGCAAGCCCCTTGGCTCCCCAGAAGTTAAAATCACGTGCAGCCCTGTCCTGTTTTCTTTGCTGTCTTTTGCTTGCTTATGTCAGGAGGGAAAATGAGAGCGGTGGTTTGTCAGGTGATCTTGGTGATGTAAAGGAGCTTTCCTGAAAGGATGTTAGATCAAACACTGCAGATTTGCCAGGAGACGTGGGTAAATCCTGCTGGGGTGAGATTTTCATTTTCAAAACCTGTGAACTTAAATTATGCACTGTGCACAGCTATGGGTGCCGGAGGTGGCTAGGAGCAGGCGAGGAAGGCCCACCCCTAGTGCAGCCTGCATGTGGCTGGGAGGCTGCGGGGGGCACAGGTTGAAATCAGTCTGCAGCACGAATGGGTGTGCTATTGTGTTTTTAGGGAACAGTGAAAAATACTGATTTTCTCAGTGACACAACAAGGACCCGGAAGGACCTGCTGTTCCTGGCCCGCATGTAGTCTGCAGAAGGTCATCCCACGGGGCTGCTGACAGGGCTTGTCCTGTACTCTGCTCTGCTGCGGGCAGGGCAGCTCTGTGGCAGCACCTCAAGAGCCCCTCACAAAGTAGCTGAGGAATACTTATTTAAATATGACACTGTGTTCCATCAAAAAGGATGCCTTGTTTTCAGAGGGTTTCAGCCGTGTCCCTTTGCGGTTAGCGGGAGTTTGGTCTGTGACTGTAACCAAGATGGGATGCGATGGTCAGAGCCTCATGATGAAGCCTTCTCAGTCCCACTGTTTAGGGAAGTGGCCCATCATTCTCAGTAAGTCTGCTCTCAGGTATCTGTTTTCCCTTGCTGTGTGTTAGATTTCCATCCTGAACCTGCAGAAATCCTTCTAGTCCCCCCACTCACTGATGGGTGAGAGACTGATTTCTCCCTTTACTGTCTGTACTTCATTTGAAGTAATGAACTATGTAAGTTTCCTAAAGAATGAACAAAACTGGTGTGCTTTTATCTTGATTGTGCCTTGCCAGTGCTTTTATTTTGCTCCCCGCTCTCTGCAGGCCTGAGGGCTCCTCCTTAGGGCAGAGGTGGGGCAGGGATGAGGACAGTAGGTACGTTAGGATGGGAGGTGTCACTGTGATAAATTGATCTGTAGGCCATGTTTAATGCCACCAAGTGTATTAGGCACTAGTAAACTGGCCAAATTTGACCTAAGTGGAGCTGTCTTAATTTGTTTTCATGCAGCTTGCTGCCTGTACCTTTAAAATCTCCTTTACATAGTCAGTGTCAAATGTGTTAGAATAATATTAGCACAGGTAAGTAAAATATCTTTTTATAAGGCTTTAAATCATTTCTGCTGCAGTTTAATATGTAAAGCTACAGATTTTCCCAATTTGTTCATAAGGTTATGTATCACAGACCTTAAATCATTTAAGGTTTTAAACCTGAGGGGTTCACTCACAGTCATGAACTGGAAAGCAGATTGCGAGAGACATTGACATGCTGATCAATGACATGAAGCCTCCAAACAAATCAGTACAGGACTTTAGGAGATGAAGCCTTACTGTGTTCTGTCTGTCATCAGAATTTATAAAGCATCTTAGTGAAAGCCCCTTGAGAATCATTCTTAGAATTTTGCAAGTCATGAGCGTGTATGCAAAATCTGAATTTTTTAAAACACAAGTAGCCTTGTAATAGCATAGCAAAAATGTAGTTTACGACGTTGGTGTAGGAGTACTAAGAACCTGTTTAGTGAGATAACATCTTTTCCAAACCCAACAGCTTATTATCTTCTTTGTTTCTATTTCTTGGCTTTCTTACTTTGACTGAGCTGCAAGTAAACACTAAAAAGGTGTATCTGAAGGTTTAAAGATGTCAACAACAGCAGAAATTCCAGACAAACAAGCTGTCACTGTTTTTAGACACTGTGCAATTGAAAGATGTTGGATGGGACCTGTGTTTATATATAGCAGCCCAGGAATTTGCTTGTTCTATGTCCAAATATTGTAACCAAAATTCACTTATTTGAATCCTAAAAGGATATGGACATGTATAAATGGGACCCTAATCCTGTATAGATAGGATTTTGCATTTGGGAAAAGGAAATCTGATGACAGGGTGCCTTCTTAACCATTTCATCCAGCCAGTGCCTTGGGCTTGGCTTGGCTGCCCTCTGCCTTCTGTTGTAGCTGGAAGCCCCCTGATAAGCAGGGTGCCCAGCAGTTGGGGTTTGCACTTGCTCAGCGGCCAGTGAGGTCAGTGCTGCTGGATGTGTAATGGAAAGCTGGCCTTTGCTTTTCAGGACTTATAATTCAACTGCAAAACTAGAAACAATTGGTTTGTAAGAGAAAACCAGGCATGAGGAGAGAGCAAAAAAGAAATGTGTTCCTATGCATGAGAAACAGTGGTGATGGCAAACCAGATGTCTGTTGAATTTTTGGCAGTTAAGTGTGGAAATGTGAGTTATAAAGGAGGGGCTTGAAGCCTTTACTGGGGTAATTCTCCTATGCGAGTTACGTGGCAGAATTATCACTTGGAAAACATTTCAAAGAGTGTAATAAAGGCTGGTTCAGTCTGCAAGTGAGGGGAAAGGAGAGGGAATCAGGCAACATCATGGCAGACCATTGAGGTGGAAATAAAGAGCGTGGGCTTGGTGTAGTGGGAAAGCCAAGGAGTGAGAAGAGGTGGTGGCGTGGACAAAGTAGGATATTTTGGATGTGTTTTGCTTTAAATGTAGCCTGGACAAAGATGCATGGAAGTGTTTTCTCAGTGTTGCACTAGTGCACGATTGCTTAGCAGGGAACTCCAAATTTGCAGAACTATTTAATACTGCTTTAGTCCTCGACAGGAGCCCTCAGAGTCGTTGTTTGTCCTTCAAGTCAACAAATGGCATTGCCTAACAGTGTGATGCTGTCAGTGCAGCCTGAGCCGAACCAGTCACAATAAATGGCCAAGCTCTTAATCGCTTCCCGCAGCTGGTGAAAATGCAGATGTGTGCACTGAGGACTGCAGGCAGCAATGGGGGGCTCGGCCGTGGGGCCAGCACCTCCCCAGTAGCTGTGTGCAGGAGGTGAAGCCCAGTGGCTGCGCTGCTGGAACTCCAGCCTCGGAGCCAGGGACAGCTGTATGGAATAGTTTGGTTGATGTAGATGTACAAAGTGTATTCTTTGGAAATGACCTTTAATTTCATTTGTTAGACACACATAGGAACAAACATAGTTAGAATTCTCAGTCATAAATTCTTCAGATTATAGCTTCAGTCCAGTGAACTTTATTTTGCTCTAAGAACGCCCTTTGTTTTTGTTTCTTTTTTGCTTACTAATGTAATGGCTCTAAATTCACTGCTGGCAAATATCTTGGAAGTATTCTGGCTTGGCTTTTACTGCTGGCTCTTATCTCTTTTAAGTGGGGTTTATTAGATGAGATCATCTACAAAGGACTTATTTCTGTTATAAAATGGAATTAAAAAAAAAAGTAAAAATACAGTTAGTAGCTGTTCTCTTTTTACTCCCTTCGAAAGATTAGAATATCAATGTCAAAGAGAATAACTGGGTTTCTGGAGTATGCTATGCAACTTTTGTTTTATCCTGTTTTGTCCTCTTTTGCTGCACTGTCTAGGGGAAAGGATCAGAAGAATTTCATTCTGTTCCTCAGTATTATCTTGAGGAGAGGTTTTCCCTCTCAAAACAATCCAGAACTGAAAGAACTTTTCAGTTCCCAAAATGAAATGGCCACCAAACAAGTACATTATGAAGGCTTAAAAAATAAAAGGTGTTAATCCCATTAATATTCTGATTCTCAATACTCTCTGCTGCTCTGTAGATTGTCAGCTTGAGGTGGCATTGTAATATTTTAGCATAAATGTCTGAATCAAACATCGAGTTTTGACATAGTAAATTTCTAACAGGTTTTATTTTTACAGTTACGACCTTCAGTACCTTTCCTGTGTCTTTTAAGGATTTCCTCAGCCAGGGAACACATTCGTTGTTTTAAGAGTAACTGGTAAGAAAACTTATTTGTTATCGTAACATTTTCTTTACTTATGCATCTGAATTTTTAGTTTTTTTTCTCCTGTAGTAAGAAGTACATTAAAATGAGGTACCTAAATTAGGTTTTAAAATCTTTTCCCACGTAGTTTTGTTTTTTTCTTTACATCTTCAAAAATACTATGTTTCTGTCTTTAGGAACACTCCTTATAGCAGTTCGTTTGGGTGTCATTAGCTACAAATAGATTTTTGAAGAAAAAATCTGCTTGGTAAAATCATGAGCATTCATCTTATACAGTTGATATCTAATAATTGTATTAGGGATGAATCATCATTTATTACTTTATCATCAGACTGATGATTTAAATAAAAACATCCATGACACTCGTGATTAAATTCATTTTATCACTTTTTCATGTTTTTTTTCCAGAAGTTCAATAGAATATCTCATGCATATTATTAAGAACCATCTTCTGTTGTATATTAGCATGAGAAGAACACCCATGAAAATCAGTGGGTGGAGGGGTGTACTACATTACATATATGATTTTCCTCTGAGCAATAGAAGAGGAGCTCCTGTAAAGCCTGAGAAACCAGATTGGTGTGGAAATCAGTGTGAAATCAGAATTGGGTTATTTGGCCCCGAGTTTGAAAGAAAAGCCTACCTTCCTAGGAAATAACCAGTAATTAATTCTGCATTCCACATGCGTTAATTGATTCTTAAATCAAAATTTCTGGTAGCTTCTGCTTCTAAATCAAATTCTTATGTTATTTCTTTATTACAACTGTTGTACTGGATTGTCCACTCATTTTTATATCATGTGAATCAGTGGAAACTGATTCAGAGGAATGGTGCTGATTTATAGTGTATGTAAGTGAGAGGATATTCAGGCGTACTAAAGCTCCAGTACTGCAAATGCATAAGCAGGTATTGAATTACTAATGCTAATGGAATTACTCACGTGAGTAAAGTTAAGCGTGGATGTAAGTGTTTTCAGGATTGATGTCTGTACTTAGGAATTTACATCATTTAAGAATACAGCTCACGATTTTTAAAACTTACTAATTGAATGTGAGCTACTGGATCTTTTTCTAGACAACTGACTCAACCGGAATTACAGTGACTGATTCTAGAACAATTCCATCTGCTTCAGATAAGATATGTGGATTTTTAAATCTGCAGATAAGAATTCAGTCTGACCAATTCACTTCACTGATCCCTGCTAATATGCGGAAATACTTGAAAGAGTAAAGGAGAAGCACGGAACTGGACAATCAGTAATACAAATGTTTTCAATCAAATAGTTAAATAGCTCAGCAAAGATGTGGTTCATTTTGCAACAGTGTTTGGAATCCAAATAAAACCATCTGAGAGATGTCCTGTTTGTTGTGATGTTAGTGCAGAAAACAAAACTGTGGGTCTCAAATTTCAGGGAGGTGTCATAAAGCCATTACAGTTTTTAAAGAAATAAAATAAACACCACAAAACCCAAAGACAGGATTCCAAACCCGCAAGCCTAAAATGCACACGCAGAAGCTCATAATTTATTGTGATTAACAAAGCTTACCTTTCTCTTGACCATACCCCATAGAGGTCATCATGTAAACTATTTAAATGATAGCAATATTATGCACCACAAAATTAATTTTATATTGTATACAGTTTTTATTGTGACTTTATCTTGTTTCAAAAGTGCTTACTTTCTGATTTTGTGGATATTACTGACTGGATTACTTTTATTTTGGTTTTTACACAACAGTTATATTAGAAATTTGCTGTTTTATTCTTACCTTCTTAGTAAAAATCCTTTTATCACACAATGGGTAATTTATATCCATTACCAGCCCTTTCAATCCTTTTCAGTGGTGCTGTCAGTGCCTTTGGCACAGTAATGATTAATGTGATCTAATAATAGTGTGCCATTATATTACCTTAGTAAAACATGTACCAACATCCTATTCAGATCTACCAAATTCATAGCTTCCTATAATATTTTTGTTGAAAGACAGGATTACTATTTTTCAAAGCTGTTTTTTTTTTTTTTTTTGCCTTTAACATATTTAATGAAATTCACAATTCTTTGCCATGGTAATCTTTGTGCATGTGTTTGGGCTTGATGGGTGAATTTTATATCATTCTGCATTATTATGATTTGTTAGGCAAATTGTTTGACACGTAAAAAGAGATGTGCATTACATTGTTTTGTTAAGGGTGTATTTTAAGCATTCAGTACCTTCTGATTATTCTCCTATATTTATCATAGGGGATGTATTTAAATTTCAGTACACAAGAATAAGCATTTGGGCTAAAATATGTTTTTCTGTATTCTAACTCAGATAGTGCCACATCCTTCAGGAGGCAAGGTCGATGCTGCTCTGCCCAGCAGTGCCACTTTCTGTTACAGTGCCTTTGCTGTGGTGCTCTCTGTTCAGCGTTTCCTTAATTTGGTGCCAACAGAAGCATGCAGAATGGTGCCCAACTGTGAGTTGGAAACTGGGATCGCGCAGTGCAATGTCTGTTGTTTTCTATCCAAGATACGTGTGTTCAAAAACTGAATTCAAGTACACGTACCATGTACTTGAGGTTCGAGCAGATATAGCATTGCTTGACCCCAAACTCCAGTGGTCAGTAGAACCAGTTCTGCCAGGACAGGCACAGCTATCCAGAGGGTGCATTTTTTGCACCGTAAAATGGAGTGTTGTTGGGGCTGTGTATGTGTGATGGCTTTCAGGTCATTCCACTTCCATACCCGATGCAGTGTGAGTTTGCTGCTGCTGCTCTTGCACAGATTCCTCAGTGCCCTGCAAGACAAGGGACTTGAGCCACGAATAGCAGGTTCGTTTATTTGATACTGCTCCTGATCAACGTGGCTGGGGAGTTTGGATAACACTGCATCCTTGCAAAGCATCTTAAATCTTTATCACCTAACGATGTCATTACTGTAGTCAGGGAGCCACGTACTTAGCACAGCCTTGGTAAAATCAAAATGAAATGGCATGTCCGCATCTTAACTCTACTCGTGATGTTCTGTTAAATACATACTCTTACAGTTCCATCGTATCACAATAAATAATGAATGAGAAAAATATTTTAATCTTGTCAATATCAGCAATGTCTAAAAACAAGGAAAGTGTGCGTATGCATTTATGTGGATTCCTTATTTGATTTAGGCTAAGCAATTCAGCTGTAACATGATTTGAAATATGCAATCAATGTAAACGAAGAAAAATATTTTGAATGCAGTGTATAAACCATGTGGTTCCTTAGACATATTTTTAGGAAAAGAAAAAAAGATGATGATTGTCATGCCATATAACAATAATGCTGCTGGAAATATATGCAGCAGCTTTATTTTCTGTCACGGTGAAGACAATCTTAAGCCTTGGTCATTTAAATCAAAGATGTTCTCATCTCTTCTGTGTAGCTGATTCTTCATGACATAACAAGAAATGAGGGGGATAAGGGGTAATAAGGCCTGAAATCTTGGCTTAACATTGTATTCAAAATGTATAAAGCAAGTTCAAAAAGATACTTCCCTAGTTTTAGTAGTAAATATTTATTAAACAGAAAAACCTTTCATGAAGTACTCTCCAAAATGACTTTACTAATGGAGCTATAATTTGTTAAAGATCTAGAAGGGCTGTACAGTCTTGAATTGAGATGCCTTTGGCTGTCCAATAAGTCACTGGACTGTCTGTTGGGCAGATTGCCTTATATCCTACTGATTTGTTACTCCTGGATCCTGCAGGTGTACTAACTAGAGAGCCAAGCTGGACAGCACACAGATAGTTTTTTTTTTTTTTTTTAAACTAAGAATAGAATGGTCAGTCTCCTCCATTTCTTTACATGCAATCTCAAATAGGTGTTAGTTGAGTGCAGAACAGACTTTTCCGTGGTATGAAGCATTTCAGAGCTATTCCTCTGTTGTTCCTTTCAATGGGAGACTGTACAGAGTGCACGATGTACTGGCTTCCATGGGGGAATTTTGTGCCTGTTTCTTTACTAAAGTAGCATTAGAAGTCAGTGAACTGGCCAGTGAAGGATTATTTCATGTGCACATCTTTCCATCTTTGTTCTGCTGGGATGGAGGCTCTTATGTGTTGTCTCTGGGAGAATGACTGGCTAGGAAGAGGGAGAAGATGGTCCTGGTGCAGCTGCATGAGCTGTTAAACAGGATGATTACAATTCCCTGTCCTTGCTTTGGTTCCTGTCTGTATTGCTGTTTTGTGATCTTTAACACACTTGGGTAGACTAGTGTGGCTCTGACAGGAAGGCCTTTCAGAAAGCAGAAAAATATAATTATTCCTAATTTTGGCAGATAGAAAAGCTCAGGAGGAAAGTATCTTATTTATTTATTTATTTAAAGTCTAACTATGTCTCCTTTGAGGCCATCAGATCAATGAGTAGCAGCGGTGACTGATAATTCTTGGGTTCTATCACTAGCCACTGAATTACTCTGTGACTTTAGTAATGAAACATAAATGTTCTTTTGGTTCCCCAGTGGGCATAATACCATTTACCTGTCTCAAGAATGCTTTGTAATTTAATTAACACTTAGAGTGCTCTTTGAGATCCTTAGCTAAAAGCAGGAAAAATGAGTCGGTTGTTACAGAAATCCCAATTTATCCCCATTTAAAAAAAAAAAAAATTACACTTTTCCTTGAATTTTTCATACCACAGATAATGCTTGATAGGGGTTTGGGGCTTTGTTCTTACGGGTCCTTGGAGTCACTTATTGTTAGTGATTTGCATAGGCGCAGTATCGGTATTGCGATTCGTTCAATGGCTCATCAACTACCAGTCTTGAGGGGGGATCTTGAGTTGTGCTAGGAAAGTTCTGCATTATTCTTTATCAGATATTTCTTATTGTTTTAGGGGGAATATTTCCTAATTTTCAGTTGTGTGCTGCACATAATAGCTTCCTTTTAGCTTTGTCAAGTATGCTGGTATCTTGCTGATAAATTACACAGGACTGTACTGTTGTAACTACAGCTATTCAACAGTCAGATAATTGC